TAATTCCTTCCTTGGGAAGTCAAAACGGCGTCCAGCTTTCAAGCGTTCGCCCTATTCTTCGGCAACCAGACCGCGTTAGTCCACAGACTTCAGACATACCAACCGAGGCACAGATCGAGTTGTACGCAGACAACTAACCTGCCACACACCCACTATACACGTTAGCTAGAGGTGCGATAAACCTCAGCTAATGCGCCGCAATACCTAAAAGGAAAGAAGGGAATAAAATGCAACAGGTGCAAGCCAGCTGAGCTACCGGTAACGGATGGGCATCGTTCCGGTAAGCTATCTGCCAGCTACTATGCAGCAAAAAAAGTAATTTCCTATGCAAAATTATAAAATGTTAAATAACGAGATCGTGCTTGGAGGAGAGGCTAATAGGCATGGGGAGGGACAAAGAAACTCACAACACGAATGCCACTGAGGTCGGCTCCTAGCCATATCAACAAGTGTATCCAGCCAAACATGTTCATCGTCTTTCGGACCCCAACCAGGGAGCTGAGATGCTCCAACCAAGGCCAGCTTCAAATGTGGGCCTTCATTCTTCTGGACCAAGCCATCGCTTGGTCACCCCTCCTCTTCTATCCACATCCCCGGTGCGCAAACAACACATCGCGGGTGTCGGTGGACTGGCATGCGTAACACGTGGCCGAGCCATCGGAGCCTGGTGCGTGAAATAACGGTGCTGAGCGGTTCAGATCCTTTTCCTGTGCCGTAAACAAGGTGTCGAACACGCTCGTTGCTCACGTGGTGCTTCCACCAGATGTGGGCTAAACTGCGAAGGCACCGATGGTTGAACGTAACTTGCCTCTTTATGTCCGCAGATCTAAGGGGCCAGATTTCACAACCTGCACACTCTACCCTTCAGGGCGAGAGTGATGTCGCGCCGGCGCCATAAGTGACGAAGGCTAGCAAAAGCGCCTCCAGCTTTTGCTATACGGTTCGTGATCTCATCTTCAATCCCACGAACGCTGATACAACTTCCCAGGTAGTTGAATTTTTGAACAACTCCTAGCTGATTCCCACCAAGGGTCATCGAAGGAGGCGGTCCAAGTCAATCTTGGAGGAACGCTTTGCACTTCGATGGTGCAAAGCAGAGTCCGAAGCGGCTGACAGCCAGGGCTAATCGGTCCAGTGCGCCCTTACACGTCTGGGAGCTGTCACAGATGAGGGCAATATCGTCAGCATACTCCAAGTCAAGAAGTCGTTCTCCTGGGAGCAGATCCACACCTTTTAAGTCGTGTCCTGTGAACGCGACTTCCATGACTTCGTCAATAGCGAAGTTGAAGAGGAAAGGTGACAGCGGGCATCCTTGTCTCACACCACTGGAGATATTGAAGGGTGGCGACAGCTTGCCGTAAGCCCTCACACTGCCCATGCTACGTGCGTATAATGCTTGGATAATATTTACATATTTCTCGGGCACACCTTTCCTGAGTAGACAATTCCAAAGGGCACATCGATCAACCGAATCGAAGGCACCTTTGATGTTGAGGAACACGACTACGGTAGGCCGCCAATATGTGTGGCGGTAATCTAACAACTGACGCAAAGTGGAGATGTGGTCAATGCAGCCACGACCTCGACGAAACCCGGCTTGCTCCTCACGAATATGGCTTTCACAAGTGGCAGTCAGCCTGTGATGGATGACAGGCAAGCAATTTAGAGACGAGTGCAATTAGACTGATTCCTCTATAGTTGCCGCATTCCGATCGTGAGCCTCCCTTGAAAATTGGGACTATGACGGAGCGGTTCCAGGCGGTTGGAACAATTTTCTGCTCCCACCGTTTCACTAGTAACTCGGATAAATTATCCACAAGAGCAGGTCCCCGAATTTGAAGAGGGCTGGAGGTAGATCATCTGGTCCCGCAGCTTTATTTAACTTCAATAGTGCGACCTCAGGTTCGACTTCTGAGCGAGAAGGTGGATGCAAAGGGGCAGCCCACGGAGCGGGCGATCATTCGCCGGCGAGAAATTTAACAATCCCGACCGATTAAATTGCCTTTCAAAGGGCTTAGCCGAACGCTCCAAGCGTTTTGACAAGTTGTGGATAAGCTGTCCACTCTCGTCACGTATAGTTTCACTAACCCCAGGTGTTCAGCTGCCAGTTTCTCTTATCAGCCGGAATAACTTACTATGGTTGCCAAGGGCAGCGGCCATTTCCATCTCTGATGCACGATGAGACCACGAGGATTTACGGTTTCTCTTCAGGCTAGCACGGAACTGCCCGGAACTCTTTGCGAGTATCATTGTGTTCGCTTCCAGCTGGAATGTGCCGGCGAGCATGGATAAGTTTAACTAACCTTCACTGAGGACGGATTAGTCAATGAAGGGTTGAAATGTTGGCGCGGCGTTGTGCAGTACGAATGGCATTCGCAGGAGCTCGCTAAGTCCAAAAATCATACTGTCGCTGGTCTTTGGAATATCCTCCTCAGTGACCGGTATCTGATGATAGGCGCACCAGATCAGTCTTTGAGGAAAGGCGGGAACCACGAATATCAGCAGTAATATCCTGGATATGTGGGATTGGGTATCGATCAGGATCTGTCACATTGTTGAGCTCGCGATAATCCTCACATGGCCGCCAGTCTGCCGACTTTTGGGTGACATGTTGAGGGACAAAGACCAAGGGCTCTTTGACTGTCGGACCATTCCAAGCTCCAGCATGTGCTAGAATTACGCTGCAATATTTCTGAGCTTATCAGGGCTCAAACTGCGTGCATTCGCGAAGACGAGCTAACCTTTTGGTGGTTATATAATGCGGTGTGGCGCCATTTGCCGTTGAGAAAGGCAACATAGATCGGAGGACCTCTGGAAAGCTTTTGAGCAGCGGCTCGCTGACCGGTGAGTTAGCATTTGCATCTACCGGGCTGAGCGCCTCGACCTCACTGAATAACTTAGCGACGGAAATTTTCGTGGTTTGATCGATAAGCTTTTGGCGTTTAACATCCATGAGCATATCTAAACGTCGGAGAAAATCTACCCTAATTATTAGGGTCTAAACTGCAGCGACGTAAAAGATCCGTGTAAACGAGCTCCTTAAGACGAACTTTTGTGTACAAGAACATCTTCTGCAGATGGAGATAATCGTTCCTTCGGCCACGTGCATTGACCTACTCTTCTTTTCCTTCGTGCCGCACGGGCTGCGGGTGAACGCTAATTTCCGCACCAGTATTGACGAGATGGCAAACTCCCAATACTTGGTCGGCGACGAAGAAAAGACGACTATGGCAACCAGCTACATTCGTTGCCGTTACCTGCTGGCCGGCCCGTTCCTCTACCCCTGGCGATCGAATGAGCATGGTGGATGGCAAGTTCTGGCACTGTTGTTGTTGCTGTTTGTTGTTGTTGATTCCCGCAATATGTAGCGGTCGGTTTGGAATGTCTTGGAATGTGCAGTACGCTACGATTTCTAGGAAGAAATCTGGTGCGTATGGCAGTTTCCAGTCTATCAAAACGTTTGAATAACTGGGCAATGACTGACACCAAGTCCGTGAAGATTTCAGTTGAAGTAGCTTGAACTTTCGAAGTTCGGCCGTATGACTTCAAAATACTGTCGGCCATGTTGGCCGTTTTGGAGATTAGATCTTTGGTGTTGGCGTAGAGGACATTGCACATCTCTTGAGAAAGACGACGCAGCCACATTTACCGAAAGAAAGACTCGTCAACCGTAGCGGGCTTTATCAAACTTCGCATCTTCCTTAAAAGTTTGGGTGTCTACATATCACCTATTTTCGTTTCGCTGAGCAGTTTTGTCACTCCTTTGCTGTCGAATATACCAATCCTCTTAAAGTCGGCTTCCCTGCCAAATAACTTTTCCGTGAATCCGTAAGCTCATGAATGTCATTGATATTATCGATGACATGTAGAAGGGCCGCGACGACGTGGTGAAACTTGGACTTGTCAGATGTAATAACACGCAGCGGTAAGGTAGACTCCAGCTGTCCGAACCAAGCTTGAAGGTTTGCTTCACGAAAAGTAGAAATGCGGACATTGACACTACTGATTGCTGCTTGTACATCGGCGCGTAAAGATAGAGACAAAATTGGGAAAATTTTGGTAATTTATTAAACTGCCGTGTCTGCAGTAAAGATTAAACATCAGTTTACTAAAATGTATGTAAATAGCCTTGGTCTTCAAATATAGTGCGAATGATCGATCCGTTTTAGCTTGGGTAAGCGAACAAATGCAAGGCCGACTCTAAACAAACAAAAACACCGAATACAAGTTAGGTAAAAGTTTATTAAATGGGTTCTAAGCTGCCTACCACTGAAATATGGTACAGAAAAGGAGCTAACTGTGGATGCTGCGAGCATGTGCAGAGCCTGTAAGTGACCGGTGGTAACCACTGGTGATCTGTGCCGGGAGCACGCGAGTATGTTGACTTTAACAAACGTGTGCAACGTCCAAACAAGCGAGCTCGTTTATTCCTTACATAAGAATACTATAATCTTAACATTTTTTTACACAAAAGCCTACAGTCGAACAAGGGAAATCTCTATGTCACGCTACACAGCTTGCGTACGCTGTGATATCCGATGCGTGATATTACACACAATTGTGTAGACTTTGTAAGCAAACCGATAATTCGACTGTGAAATCGGGAGTGATCTCGTGCCATTACCTGTTCAAAACAAGATAATAAAAGGAAGAAAGGTCACTGACGAAGAAGTTTTCGGGCTGATAATAATCGGTCGCGATTTCCCATGCACATAAGTTAAAACAGCTGCTCGCTCGACGCCCGCCTAAACCTTATCACTGGAGATGTTGGTATAACTCACTAAGTTGATGAGGACGGGGATAATTCGAATCATATTTTTTTCTGTTGTGAAAGAATTGCAATCAGCACTTGATTGCGCAACTAAGCTTCCGTACAAGCGCAGCTTACGGTACCCTAGAGTGAAAATGTACGCTGTTTTTTGAAGTGACAAATCTATTTTTTACTACATAATTTGATTCGTCAGCATACAACTCCGAGTATCTTTCATGCTTTGTTCCAGGCGTGCGCTCCTTACACTACAATGACCTCTGCGGAAGACCTAAAGAGGGCACTGCTCACCAATTTGGAAAGAAGCGGTCACCTTAAAAGACTTAAGGCTGAATTATTGGAAAATGTTTTTATGTCGCTGGACAAATCTTATTGGTCTTCGGCCGGAAGATCGAGCCCGTATATACCAGAAAACCCTGTTTCCGACTACAAGTTTATTATACTGGAGCTACTTATGGAATTCCTTGCGTTTGAACAGTAAGTGATAACTTTTCTATGCTTAGCGTTACGATGTATATATATATATATATATATATATATATATATATATATATATATATATATATATATATATATAATATATATATATATATATATATATATATATGAGCCATTCGTCCGTATGTGATGTGTGACTTGGGATGCCACAGGCAGCTGCCTTCCTTGGCTGAACGAGCATGGAATACTGAAAAAAGAGGTCGGCGTAGTCTGGCGAGGTCTGGGGAAAGGCGTAGACCGGTGTTATAGATGCGATATCGACGGTGACGCCACGTACACTGAGTTTCGTTGCAGTATCGACTATCATCTGGCGTTTCGCACCGACCAAGTGGTCGAGATGCCTGAGAAAGTCAGCGCCGATGACGGCAAAGGGGATTGCAGCGACGGTGAATACTCAGCGGAACGTGCGCCGAAGACATAGGTCCGGGGTAAGCGACTAATGACCGTAGGTGGCTATTGGTATACCATTGGCCGCACTTAGGCTTGACGTCAAAGAAGCGGTAGGCTCCCCTTGCTTAGGGGGAATGACGCTGACTTCCGCCCCGGTATCAACTAAGAACTGGGTCTCGGAATCATAATCCCTGAGGTAGATGAGGCAGCTTTGAGTTTTGCCGATGTTTTTCTTGGCCATTACAGGCCAGCGTGGCGGATACTCTGTAACGGAGCAGCTACATGCCTTTATTACCGAAACATGAGTGATAAAAGCAGTAACCGGAGGCATCAGCTTTTGTGCGACGGGGCGATGATCTAGAGCGCCTGCGGTGCTTACGATTTAAAGTGAGCTCCTCGATCTGGCGCTGAAGCGAAGCTAACTGTGATGATAATGCATCTGTTGCGGTCGGCTGGCTAGGCACGGGTGTCGGTGTGGTTGCGCCTGCACAAAGCTGCTTAGGTGCTTTGGTTTTAGTCTCTACTTGGTACCGTTCGATGGTGCGATCTGCTAGATCTGCAGTTATTGTCAGTGGCAAACCACTTGCTACTGCAAGGATAGCCTGAGTGCTTTCAGGAAGACGTTGCATCCACAGCTCGCGGAGAATCCCTTCGTCCCTATTGCACGTGCCATTGAGCTGTTGCATTTCGCGCAACAAGGTTGAAGGCATCCTATCTCCTGGTTTCAGATCACTAAATAGTTGCGGCAGACTGACCTTGTCAGAAGGCGTGATACGCTGAATAATAACCTGTTTAAGAGTCTGGTATTTCCTTACAAAAAGGGGGCAAAATATGATGTCTGTCACCTGCTAGGATATACTCTGAGGAAGCTGAGATATTAGCTGATTATACATGGAGAAATCAGCAGAAATCCTACCAATGTAAAAAAATGGATTCTAGGTGCAAAACCGTACCGAAGGGTCATTCTCACAATAAGGTGGAGGGGCTAATGCAACTGTATTGAGCATGATAGGCTCTACTGCGCTTATTGCGTATGTAGTTGGATTACTTTCTATGTACTCCGTTGCAAAAAGCGAGTAGAAATGTGGTAGGTGAGAAAACAATATGATCACAAGTAATGAATCACAAAATCACTGGAACGAGCTCACCAAAATGAAAATTCAAAGTGGCGGGCGGTGTGTTCTGGACCGGGGTCACCAATTTTGTGGTGGCGCCTGGGCTACTAGTCGTTAAGCTATGACACGTAAGAGAAGTGTTAACTACGGGTCAGTATAAAAGTTGGATGCGACTGAACCCAACATGTATTGTGCAGGCTACAAAAATAGGAAGCGTATCAACCAGAGCGAGATACGTTGCGACAAGATACTCACCAAAAATTGTGTCAACGGAAGTGCCGTCAGTAAAACACGTGGACGTTTTGAAGGTTAAAACAACGGTAAAATCCAATGTTGCTAACTACTGAAAGAGCGTGTTTTCCGATACATTACACGTTCCTCAGTACAGCTAGTGTCGGTTGGGATCAAGCGGCGTCTGTCTATCAGCGACAAGGAGGCATTGGTATACCGGTTTTTTGGCGGGTGACAATCACTTTCACAACTGACAGTACTGGCAGTAATTTACGCGTTTTTGATGCGCATCCATTGCGAATTGAGACCATCGCCAGAGGATGAAGCAAGCAGTGTTGACAGAGTAGTCTGGTACTTGGCTAACGTCGCAAGATGTTGCAGATTTTCGACGTTCGGTCGGTAGTGCGTACGCCTGCGAAACGTATGCAAATCTTGGCGCGAACTAGTGCGTGATCAGAGCCCAGACAGGCTGACCAGTACGATCGGTAGTCTGTTACACTTCCGCGCCATCTGTAGCTTATCACTATGTTGTCAAGCTGGGACGACTCTTGCATTTGAGAAGACGAACGCCATGTAGCAGGCTATCTTTTCGAATGCCGAAAACTGGTCCTCGAAAGAAACAAGCGATGATCCGAACAAAGAGCCAATATCCTGTCTGCATTGTCTGCTCGACTGCTACTGAGTCCAAAACTGCCCTCAAGATGGTGCTCGCTTGATGTCAGGCGGCCCACTCGTGCGTTAAAGTCTCCGGCAAGGATGATAATGTCAGACATTTTCGTGGAACGCAGGTCATGTAGCTGTTGGTAAAAGCACTCCTTGATTGCACCCAGGCTGCAGTCTGTAGGAGCGCAGACGGAGATCACAAACAAGGCACGCTTACTTAACTTACATGAACCTCGTAGTCAGACTACACATAGCCGACTGTTTACTGGGATGCAGTCCAACAAACCGGCCCCAGTCCTGTCACTCAGTGCAACCCCAACACCAGCTTGGCCAGAAGCGGTGGCCTCCAGAAAGGCTCAAGCATGTCAGCGTTTGCCGGAGAGTTCCTTGTGATGACGGTACTGGCGTCTTGCAACCTGGTTTCGGAAAGGCAACAGATATCCACCGAAAGTGTCTCAAGGGTGCTGGTCAGGCATGCTTGTCGTCCGAGCTGTATCAGAGTGCGCACATTGAACGCTGCAAGGCCGAATGGAGAACTAGAACAAAAGAAAGCTTGGGCTTCCGCGGAGTGGGAGAATTTCGTGACCACCGAGCAACGAACACCAAAAGTCTGACTCAGAACTCTGTCAGATGCAGAGCTGTTGTTGACGGTGACCGGGGAAGACATAGATGTAGTTGAGGAACGAGATGCGGGATGATCTGTGAGCGGATGTTGAGCAGCAGAGACAGGATAGCCAGAAGACATAGCAATGAAAGCAGCAATATAATCCATCCATGGTTCGTCAGTGGACGTGATACTACCCGGTTGCCCAGACCGAAGTAGAGGGCTGTCTTAGGGAACCCCACCCCGAGCCTTTGATAAAGGATATAATCTACAAGGCAGCAGGGCGATATGAGGGTATCGCAACCCGTTGGGAGCCGGTGACCACACAAGTGGTTCATGCGTCTTTCGGTCTGTGAGGGACTAGGGGCGAAACACACCTTTGAATTACTATGCCACTCAGAGAGAGGCAAAGAGCAGTGATTTTATCTAATGGCTCGTTACATCCGCCACGTCACAGTGTTGTTAAACAGACATATGTGGCTTTATCTAGGGAGAACGCCTGCCAGGCGAAAAGCCATCACGTCTTGGAACACTACCGCCAAATCACTCGTTAGTTCGGGATAATTTCGAAACATCCAGCTGGCACCACGAGGAGGTTGTTCGGCAAGCCAGCCAGTTTGCCTTACTTCTTGTCAAACCAGTGTGGCTTGACTGGTCTAGCTTTCCAATATTTGCGGGGCACACTCGGGCACACAATAATTTGATTCTCACTTTGAGTATAGACCAACAGGCCTTAACTGATGAACCCTGTGGTAGTCCGTTAGACTTGCGACTCGAGTGAGGCCATTAAAGTCCGCCTTCCAGTAGTTGAAGGCTGGCTTCGGCGGAGGAGTAAACTGCAGTGGCCGCAGTAATCCCGCCATGACCATCGAGTGGTCACTAGCTGCTACGGGCTCTAGGACTTGTACATCACGCACATGTTGATCGCAGCTCATCAACAACATGTCCAGACACGATGGGGTCGAGCGCGCGATAATCCGCGTCGGCTGATTAATGTGCTGTGTGACCCCAGTTCAAAACATCACCTCCACAAACTTCGTCGCGACGTCGCAGTGGACGGGAAGAAACTCGACCTCGGGCCACCGTATTCGAGGAAGGTTGAAATCACCCATGAGCAGGAATTGTGGATGACTCACGTGGTTGCACACATAAGGCAACCAGTGCAACCTGCGATTTAATGGACTGCGATACGCAACACCCACGAGCAGTTCGCCACGTTTCAGGTGGATCGAACACCATAGCTACCCATACAGGTCATCACCGCTTCTGTAAATGCTCACAAGTCTCCCGCACAAGGAAGACCTTATGTATAGCAGTACCCCACCGCGGTCATTTAATAGCCTATCACAGCGTAAGCAAGGATACCCACTGGTTTCGATTTCTTGGGCGGTTATCTCTGCATTTAACTAAGTTAGCTAGGTCCAATACGTCTGGTTTCCGAGAGGCAACAAAATGGCAAACGTCCTCACTTTTTTCATTAGACTACAAACATTCGTAAAGGCTACATGCAGGCCCCGGTAGGAGCCGTCGGGCGTACGTGAAGCATTAGCGACCAGTTCATCCGGGTTCGGGGAGGAACCCTAGTAACTATTCGAAGTTTACAATGCGGAGATTTGTTTCTTCGGCTTTATTGCGCCGCTTTAGTTCAATCACGGCAGTCTTGAGTTTTTCTCGGTCTGCTGTATCCATGTCTGTGCGCACATAGATCTTCAAACCCGTAAGTCGACCGAGATACGATTATATCAACCTCGGATCAGCTTCGACAGCAAAAGTGACCCCCATGGGTCGAACTTTTCCCTCAGTTTTCTTCCCCAGACGGGCAGTTTATTTCACTTTTAGTCCGTCTTCACCGACTTAGAGCAGTCTATCAACCAGACTCTGCAGAAGCTCGATCTCGTGTTCATAGCGAACTTAAGGCTTCGAATCCGACGATATAGGTGTGTGGAAGACCATCACAACTTGCGACGCCACAGATC